AACAGGAATTTTCAACTTTTGAAAAACATCCAGATATTTAACGCCTTTTAAACGAACTCGAGATGTTGTGTGAAATCCATTTGGTATGGAAACACTGAAATGCACTTCTAAAATTCCGAGCAAACCAACCTTCTAAAAACCATTCCACAAACATTTTCAAAGAATCAGTGCGCCGTGCGAAATCAGAACTTGGCAAATCAAACCTCGCTGGCCTGCAGCTCCCTCCCCTCCTCTCCTCCTGGGAGCAGGGTGGGATGAGCTGCTCTCCCTGTGTCCTGGGAGGTCATTTCCAGGGAAATGTCCTTCAGCTGGGTTTTTTGGGCATGGCACTTTGCTGGTTCTGAGCTGCTCCTTGCAGAGGGCGCATTTCATGCGATGCCATCGTGTCCCCACATCCAGGGAAAAGCCAGTTTGGGGACCCTGATCGGAAGGCAGGAGGTGACGTCCCTTGTTTGCACTTGGCAGTCAAAGGGAGAAGGTTCATCCCTCCTCCTGCAGCACCATTATTTGAGCAATCTGATTTTTAACTGATGAAAATTGAAATGTCTCCTCTGCGGGAAAGCTCCAATTTTTCTTCCCTAGGAAAAGCAGAGATATGAATTGCAGAGATCACCCTGAGGGATTTGGATCCTGCTCTGGGGAATGTGGGGATTTTACAAACCCGCCAGGAAGGGCTGAGGGTCACAGGGGCAGAATTCATCCAGGATTTCTTTGACTTTCCTCGTTGTCGACTTCTACAGAGGAGCAGATTATTCAGTTTTGTCCTTCTGTTAGATGCAGCCCTGGAAAAGGAGATGTGGATCCTGCTGATCCAGGAGAGGACACCTCCAGTGGTGCTTGGCCAAGGCCTGGCTGTGTCCATCACACCCCCAGCCCATAGGAACTGAATTTTGGGGTGGGTTGGGCTCCAGAAGGAACAGACACCACCACGCGTCTGGAAAATGAGCTGTGGGTTCACTTCCTGCTGATCCCACAGGAGAGGACACCTCCAATGCTCTGATGGCCAAGGCCTGGCTGTGTCCATCACACCCCCAGCCCATAGGAACTGAATTTTGGGGTGACTTGGGCTCCAGAACTGGGCTCCAATGGTGCTTGGCCAAGGCCTGGCTGTGTCCATCACACCCCCAGCCCACAGGAGCTGCATTTTGGGCTGATTTGGCCTCCAGGACAGGGCGGACAAACCAGGGGTCACCGGGGGCTCTGGCCCTACAGGTATCAGAGGCTCCTTGGGCAGGTCCCCAGGGGGACAGGGCTGAGCCCCCCGCCTCTGCCTTGCCCACCAGTAGAACCAGTTTGTGCTGGAAGTGCCACACGGCCCCTCGGAGCTCTCCAGGGAGGGTGAACGGCTCCCTGAGTGCCCCAGATCCAGCAGAGTCATGTGGCTCCAGCTTTATTTGCTGTTATTGCTGCTTTCAAGTGGAAAATTGATATAATAGCAGCCCTTTCTCGGCACACAGCAGTCTGCACATTTGTACAATGTTCTTTGAGGACGATCAGCAGCCACTGGCATAGAAAAGTGACAGATGCTGTCTGCAAATAATGAGCTGAAGCTGTTTCCTTTGGAAGGGGACTTAAGCAAAGTCCCTTTGAGTTTGAAAAGCCAAAGAGGTTCCCATGTGTCCCCAGAAGCTGCTCGGAAAAGGCGTTTTCTAGTGGCTGTGTGGCATAATTATTCTGTAACTCTTTCTCTCACGCCAGCTCCTCTGGAGACAGGGAATGACCCAGTTCCTGTTTACCGAGCCTCTCCTGCTGGGGACAGGCATGAAAGAGAATGAAGTTGGTGGCTTATTCTCCTCCCTCCTCCAGTGCTCCAAATCTGCACAAATCACAGGGATGAGGAGCACAGTGGTGGGTGAAGCACATCCCACACCTTCGGGATCCTCACGTCCCTTCTTTGCAGCTCACACCAAAATTGTTTCAGCCCCTGAGGTCTGGGAGGAGTCTCCCACTTGTGGGGTTGAAGGAAGAGCACTGGGAGGTTTCATCCTGAGCCTTTGATCCTCTCTCCTTCCTCTGCTTTTATCTGGCACAGCCGGTCGCGTGCCAGGGGTGCTTCTCCTGATGGAGCTCTAGCAGGTTTCAAAATCCTCCCATCCCCTCAGAGCGCTCCAAAAACCCAAATTTATTGAAAATGGAGGATTCAGAGTTTCCTGGCTGGACATTTCCAACCCTGTCAGTGAACTGGAGATACAGTTGGCCTTTCGTGATGGAAATCTTCTCTCTGGTGCAACATGGATGTTTCTGCATTGAGATTTTCTGGCTATTGCCACAGTCCTGAACCCTGAGGATGAAATCAGGCTCCGGGAGCCTTTGCTCTTGAGGTCTTGGAGAGATCCAGCATCTTACCACGCTTCTGTAGGGAACTGAACTTACAAAAAAATAAACAGATTGGGCTTCTCTCCAGTAAAAATAGCCCTTGATAAACTGTCCCTCCAGAAGGTCTCCAAGAATTCATTTTCTTCCAGCCTGACCTGTTCTCTTGGGCTTTTTAGCAGTGGAATTCCAAGCAAATCCAAGGATTAATGGTGGGAGCCGTGTTACACAGCACATTAAATCACAAATGGATCAAAATAACGAGCCACCATCCCTTAGGGCACCGGGGGTAGAGCTGAGGCACGGCCTCAATCTTAATTCCCTTTCTTATTTTTAAAAACATCATTTGCTAAACTCTTTGTTTGTTCGATTCATTTTAGCTCTTTCCTTTCCGTCCCTTCCTGCACATTTATAGATGAGATGCATTTCTGGGCAAGTTTAGAACAGTGTGATGTTGTGGGAAATTAATTAATACTGATAATTATTGATGGATTCTGTAGATGAAACACATATAACAAAGGAGATTAAAGTTAAGAGATTCTACTTAATTCCAGTGCCTGAAGGGAGCTACAAGAAAGATGGAGAGAGACTTTACAAGGGATGGAGGGACAGAGCAAGAGGCAATGGCTTCATACTGGCAGGGAGTAGGGTTAGATGGGATTTTGGGAAGAAATCCTTCCCTGGCAGGGTGGGCAGGCCCTGGCACAGGTGCCCAGAGCAGCTGGGCTGCCCCTGGATCCCTGGCAGTGCCAAGGCCAGGCTGGAGCAGCCTGGGACAGTGGGAGGTGTCCCTGCCCATGGCAGGGATGAGCTGTAAGGTGAGCCCTTCCCACCCAACCCTTCCAGAATTCTCTGATGATTCCAGATTCTCTCACAAGAATTCTCTGCAGTTTTGTTGCCTTTAAAATCTCCCAGCTCTGGACTGGAAATCTGAGCACAGTTTTCACCCAGGGTTGGGCTTTCCTTGGCTGGTTTTGCTCTTGGTTGTTCAGGGGTGATTTTTTTGCCGATGCCATTATTTGTTGACTTGGACTGGAGGTTTTTTTGAGCTCTGTGGTGTTCAATGAACTGTTCTCAGTGAGATGGAGATCCCTGGCGCTGAAGGGATAATCATTTAGTGACAGCAAAGGACAATAAGGTTGCAGAGCAGAGAGAGTGAAAGATCCCCATGCCCAGAGTGGCAGAGCAGGGACATTCCCTCTCTCAGGGAATTGTCTGGCTGGGGAGCAGCCTGCATGCTTCAGGGGGAAATCAGCAGCTCCAAGGAAAATATCCACCCCATCCTGGCTCTGGAATAGTTTGGGTGACAACAAAACCTCACACAACAGAGCTGGGAGGACTGTGCAGACGATTCTGCAGGTGCCCAAAGCTGAAGAAAGGGGAACAAGTGACCAGGAGGTGACAGGGTGAGGATTCATCTGACATCACATAGGAATCTGGCCCAGAGACAGGCTCCAACTCTGGAGAACAGCTCCTCAGACATAACCCATCCCTGCCTCCTGCAGCCCTGCATCTCTTATTATCCACCACGAGTGGAAGAGACATCTCCCAGCCACAGAGAGCCCAGGGTGGCAGGAGGACACGGAGGGGCCCAGTTTGGTGGAGCTCTGTGTGCCCGTGGAAGCCAAACCTGCCTTCTCCAGCAGCTGCAGAGGAGCCTCAGGGCCTGCACACACATTTCCTCCTGGAGAAACCACCTGAAACCAAGTGAGGACAGGAGGAGGCTGATCCAGAGCCAGGGAGAGGTTTAACCCTTCCTCCAGGCAGGCTCTGCAGCCAGCAGGACGTGGATAAAACATCCAAAAACATCTCTCCAACATCCCTGTGGGGAGGGAACCGCATCAAAAGGACAAGGACCTGCCCTGGAGGCCAGTTCTACATGTGCAGATCCAAGGTCAAGGGAGCAGCTGGAGGAGAATGTGAAGCCCTAAAAAAGCAGCTCTGAGGACAGGCAGGGCAGGGCCTTGGCCCCGGCCTCAGACAGGGACAAGCAGCTCCTCTGCATTGTTTGGGTTATTTTTATCTCCACTTTGGTGCCTCCAAAGGAAGGCTGAGCACCCCGCTGTCAGAGGAGCTGAGAGCTGCTTCTGCCTTCTTTAGTCTGTACAATTTCCCAGATGAACAAGAGAAACAGGGCTTTGGGAAGGGGGTCCCACGGGAAAAGCAGCCTCCAGGAGCTCTGTTCCCTTTCTCTGTGGGGCTGCAGCACACAGGGAGGGAGGATGGGTGCTGTGGGTGACCACGAGGCCAAGGGTCCCTGTCCTGGTGGGCATGGGAGTGGCCATGTCTGCTGTCCCCTCCTGGACTCTGGGTGGGTTCCCAGGGGATGGCGAGCCTGATTTGGGGCCCAGGATCTCCTCCTGTGGAGAAACTGGCTCCTGATCCAGGCAGACAGATGGGGCAGAGGTCTGAAAGCATCCCCGAGGCCATCAGATCTGGAGGGAGGGGAGCTGGGGGCTGGGAGGGAGCAGAGCCGGGGCTGAGCCGGCCGGCAGGAGGATGGATGGCCTGGCATCCCCCCCTCTCCTTCCAGCATCCCTGCATCCCTCCCACGGCAGCATCACACCCTCCCTCCTGCAGCTGCTGCGCCTGCAGAGGCCTCTGCTTCCTCCTCCTCCTCCTCCTCCTCCTCCTTCTCCTCCTCCTGCCTGATCGCCCAGCCACGAATTTCGGGGATGGTGCCTTACCTTGCCTGCTCGGGCTCGGGGGTCCTGGAGCCTTTGGGACCCCGGGCCAGGGTCGCTGCATTGTCCTGGTGTTCTGGTGGCAGGGACGGTGCCACAGGCTGGCAGAGGTGCAGCAGGGATGGAGCCACAGGCTGGCAGAGGTGCAGCAGGGATGGAGCCACAGGCTGGCAGAGGTGCAGCAGGTTGCAGACACATGGCAGAGGTGCAGCAGGGACGGTACCCAGCCCTGCAGAGGTGCAGCAGGGACGGTGCCCAGCCCTGCAGAGGTGCAGCAGGGACGGTGCCCAGCCCTGCAGAGGTGCAGCAGGGATGATGCCCAGCCCTGCAGAGGTGCAGCAGGGATGATACCCAGCCCTGCAGAGGTGCAGCAGGGAGGATGCCCAGCCCTGCAGAAGTGCAGCAGGGATGATGCCCAGCCCTGCAGAGGTGCAGCAGGGAGGATGCCCAGCCCTGCAGAGGCTGCAGACACACGGCACACACCGGCACGGCTGCCCGGGCACCGGGAGCAGGCTGGCCGCCGCGGGGACACGCACGGAGGTGGCCGGGAATAAATTTCGGTGGCGGCTCCTGCGATCCCCGCTGGTTCCCGGGTGGCGGGCTGCAGCACAGCCCCTGCCTGCTGCCAGCACAGCTGGCTGCCAGCGCTGCACGCCGTGATCGATACGTTTGGCTGCTCATCCATCCATCTATCCATCCATCCATCGGCTGCCGCGCCCTGGGGATGGAATGAGACGGGAGGGCAGCTCGGGACTCGGTTCCCGTGTCGCTCACCGGCCGTGGCCTGAATGCAGAGTCCAGGCAGGAGCTGCTGCTCACCCGGCCCTCCGGGGAGCGGGGAGCATCACAGCCCCTCCTTTCTCACCCCCCAAAAAGAGCCGGGCTGAGGATGCGAGAAATCCGCCCGGCAGCCACACGGCTCGGGAGTGAAAAGCAGAGGAAAAACAGAGTTCCCAGTTTGTTTACTACCTCTTGGCACACGTCCATGCCCAGCTTTTTATATCCCACTGCCAGGCTCTGCAGCCGGGTGAGCTCCGGGGGGACCGTCCCGGGACCCTGCGGGAGGAGCCGCTGCCGGCACGGGAAATTCCCGGCTGGAAATGGGAATTACAGCTGTGCGTCTGCTGGGGCGGGATGAGGGATGTCAGCCCAAGCTGCTCTGGGAAAAGCTCTTCCCTGGGTTTCGGAGCTGCCATGGGAAGCAGAGCTGACGTCATTCTGAGCAGGGAAATTTGTGGAGGTTTCTGGATGGTGGAAGGAGACAAAGGCTAATCCAGAAGTACTGATATGCAGGATGAGCTTTAGATGTAAAAGTACTGATATGCAGGCTGAGTTTTAGATGTAAAAGTACTGATATGCAGGATGAGTTTTAGATGTAAAAGGATGAGTTTTGGCAAAGACCTTCAATCCCTGGGTCAAGGGAGCAGCCAGTTTAAAAAACCCCAAAATTCTGTGACCCTTTTGTACCTGACAGTAGGGTAAACGTGACCATAATGCTGTTTTCAGCTAGAAGGTAACTCCAAAATAAGTAACTATAAAAAGAAAGAAAGAAAAATTAAACGCTCTTTAACCTAAAAGCAGTTTCACCAAGGATTGAGTGCAGCCCTCCACAAAGCCCCACTGCTTGTGCTGGGTGTGACCAGGGACAATGCCACCCCCGTTAGGTGACAGTGCCAGCACGTGAGTGGTTCCAGGTGCCCCAGCCAGGCAGGACGAGTGGGAATTCTCTTTCCAGCCCTCACAGGAATCATTTCAAGCCAAGGTGGCCACCCCATGGCCAACCCAAGGTGGCCACCACATGGTGGAGGTTTTGGTTGGGGTGTGCTCGAGGTTATCAATTCACATTCAGGGAAGTTAGGGAAATAAAAGGAGGAAAGAGTGTGGGAGCTGGAAGGAAAGAGGGTTAATCCAAAGAAGCAGCTTGCCTGGGCTGGGGATGGCCTGGATCCTGCAGCACACGGGGCTGGAAGCTGCAGAGCCGTGCTGGCCGTGGGTGTTGTGGCAGCAGCAGGAGCAGTGGCACCGACACCATGCAGGGAGGCGCCTGCACGTGTCAGCTCCTTCCTCACTCTGTCTGCATTCCCCTCCTTGCCTTCTTCACCAGGAACAGGGAAAAAATATCCTTGAAGCCCCTTTTAAAGTGTCTCAGCATCCCAGTGATGCTTTAGCAGCAGCCTCCAGGGCAAGTTTACAGGTCAAGCATGGCCAAAGCATTTCCAGGGGCCCAGCCCAGGAGCTGGAGCTGCTGCAGAGCCCAGAGAGGCTCCAGGATGAGCAGAGGATGGAGCAGCTCTGCTGGAGGAAAGGCTGGCACAGCTGGCATCGCTCACCTGGGCAGGAGAAGCTTTGGGCTGAGCTCAGGGTGATCCTCCAGGACCTGAAAGGATCTACAGGAAAAGTGGAGAGAGAGAATTGACGAGGGATTGAGGGACAGGACCCAGGGAATGGCTCCCACTGACACAGGGCAGGGCTGGATGGGATTTTGGGGATTGGGAATTGTTCCCCAGGGTGGGCAGGCCCTGGCATCTGTGGCTGTCCCTGGATCCCTGGCAGTGCCAAGGCCAGGCTGGATGGGGCTCGGAGCACCTGGGGCAGTGGGAGGTGTCCCTGCCATGGCAGGGGTGGAAGGTTGGAATGAGATGGGGTTTGAGGTCCCTTCCAGCCCATCCTGGGGTGATTTAATGACTCTGATTCTCTTATCTCTGGGACGTCCTCGAGGTGACCCAGAGGGAAATCCCACAGGGCCAGTACAGCTGCCTCCCTCCATCTGCCTGGCCTTGGAATGGTGAAACACGACCTGGACAAATCCCAAATCCTGGGCTGGGGACACCCCTGTGGGTTTGCTGCAGGGCCAGGGGTGTTCGAGGCACTGCAAGGTCCTGGGATGGAACTCCTGGGAGAGGAGGGATTTGGGATCCTGGGAGAGAGGGGATTTGGGCTCCTGGGAGAGGAGGGATTTGGGGTCATAGGAGAGGATAGATTTGGGTTCCTGGGAGAGGTGGGATTTGTGGAGCTCCTGGGATCATTAAGGGATCCTTGGAGAGGATGGATTTAGGTTTCTGGGAGAGGAAGGATTTGGGCTCCTGGGGGAGGATGGAATCAGGCTCTGCAAGGGCTCCCAACAGTCCTGAAGCCCATGAAGGTTTTTAAGGGTTTGTTCCTGTTCCTCACAGCCATTCTAAGAGCAGTGCCTGGCGCTCTCAGAACTGCTCTTAAAACATTACCATATTTATAAGTAATGCCCTAATTTGAAGGGATATCAAGTTCTTTTGGATGTAAGTAGTTATTAATTACAATGCAACAGGAAAATTCATTAGGGAATAGAATCAAACTTTCAATTAATGTCATTTTTATCCGGGAACATTAGATGAGCTGCTTCTATTTTTTTTTTTTTTCCTTGCCTTTAACAAGGATCTGGAAACATTTGCTAATTTCCAACTATTATAGTTCCTTCTATGAAATAATGTGAGCCCTCATTTGCATATAAGAAAACATTTTCTGTATTCACTATGACTCTGAGCTGCCCTATTTAGATCAGGAAATTGAGCTGAAGGCTCCCTGTGCATTTCAAGACGAGGCTTTTCTCATGCAGAAGAGCAGAACATTTTCCAGGCCCACAGTGAATTAGGGGTGTTATTTTGGGGGGCTCTAAGCCCCACAGGGGGTTAGCAGAGGGGCTGATAAAAAGCTCAGGGGCTTCTGGCTGAATGTTCCACAAACGTTTCCTTGGTCTCTTTCTGAAGTGCTCTCTGCACTTCTGGTTCCAAATCTTTTACTTTCAATTTCGTTTTCAGTCTCAAAGCCAAACCTGCTTGATAGAACAAAGAGTCTTCAGGGGCCAGGTGTGAAATCCTCATCGCCTCAGACCCAGCAGGCCAGACACCTCCAGACTCTTTGCTGGGGAACTTCTTTTCCCTTCTTTTCCCTTCTTTTCCCTTCTTTTCCCTTCTTTCTTTTCCCTTCTTTTCCCTTCTTTTCCCTTCTTTTCCCTTCTGATCTGGGAACGTTTTCAGGGTCAGCCTTGGTTTTGTTCTGGTGTTTCTGTAGCTGAGAGGCCGTTCCACAGCATCCCCAGCTGCAGCCCATGGAAAATGGATCTTTAGTGCAGAGGACTGAACCTGTGCTGCTCCACGTCCATCTAAGCTCTGACTGCTGATTTTGGTTTTATCTGTGCTCTTCTGATGAGCCCTGAACAGCCACAGGAAAATGAAATAAAGCTTGGAAAGATTCCCTTTGCCCCTTCCTTCACATCTTTTGTCTCCCAGGTTTCCATTTCTCCTGTTGCTACAAGCATCAGATAAATCAGCTGAAAAAAAAATAAATTAAAAGCAGAAACAGCAGTAATCACCATTCCTTAATGATCTGAACGCTGAGGGCAGGACAAGGCAGATAATTAATTTCAATTTTTAAAGCAGAAAAAAAAAATCCATAAATGTTTCAGTTGATCCCAGCCAGTTTTATTTTGACTTTATATGACAAAACGAGTTTCAGAGCCTTGAAAAATAACTTTATTATTATGGTTAATTTCATCCTGAGCTTTTTGCAATGATAAAAACAAATTTCACAGGTCAAAAATCCTTCTTCCCTTGCCCCGTTATGTTATGAGGAGAGGAGCCCTAGGGACAGAGGGAATGTCCCCTCGGTGTCCCTGCAGCCCCAGGCACAGAGGCAATGTCCCCTCCTGGGGTTCCTGGACATCTCCCCCATCCCCAATCCCCAGTCCAGCTCCCCGGGCTGGGGGGGTCCTGCAGCATCCCCCAAATCTCGGGGGCTCTGTAGGGCTGGGGCAGCTCCCTCCTGTCCCCAGACCTGTCCCTGCCCTTCAGCTTCACTCCAGGCCCTTCTCCTTCTCTCCCCAGCCTGTTCCAGGCTTTTGTTCCTTCGCTGGATGGAAACTTCCTTCAGATTTCCACTCGGAATTTATTCATGGCTAGTGCCTACTTTTTGTTCTTGTGCCAAGTTTGTCTGTTAGATCTTCTCCCTCCCCAGCACTTTCCCTGCCCACATTTATTTATAGAAAGCAATCTTTGCTTTTTTTTTTTTTTCTCTTTCTCTCTTTTCTTCCTAATTTTTTTTTTTATCCAAGAACCCTTTAAGCTGTTTCTTCCCAGAGCCAAGGCTGGCTTTGGGGCAGCAGCCCAGCCTTGCTCTGGACACACATTTCAGGGCTGTGCTCCTCAGCTCTGGCAGTGCCTCTGGGCCAGCAGGAGTTGTCAGCAGCTTGTTTTTCTTGGTGAGCCCCAGCAGAGCCCTTCAGCTGTCTCTGAGCCCCGTGT